TCTGGAACTCACGCAGAGTGCTCTTGGGACGGTAGAGGAGTGGTGTGACAGCACTGGCCTTTCGGTCAATCCCCGGAAGACGGAGCTGGTCATATTCACTCGCAGATACAAGCTGGGCACTGTAGTGGGGCCCACCTTGGGAAGCATCAGGCTGACACCGGCAGTGTCAGTGAAATATCTGGGAGTCATCCTAGACAGGAAGCTGACATGGAAGGAGCACCTGGACGATCGGTGTAAGAGTGTAACCTCTTACTTCTGGCTGTGCAGAAGATCCTTTGGCCAGACCTGGGGCCTCAGGCCGAGAATGGTCTACTGGATTTATACTGCCATTCTTAGACCTAGGCTGCTGTATGCTGCAGTAGTATGGTGGCCTAGGGTACAGTTAGCGTCGGCGAAAATATCGCTGGAGCACCTGAGGGCTCTTATTTTAAGAGAGGCTCTTGGGACTATGAGAACCACGCCAACTGCAGCGATGGGAGTGCTGCTCGGTATCGAGCCGCTTTGCCACACGGTCGTCGCCGCTGCTACATCGGCGGCTTACCGTCTGGGTTGTGAGGGAAAATGGAGGGCCGGCACCAGGCACACTGAACATCCCGACGGAGTCCTTTCTCATCCTATCTTCAGTATGGGGCAGGACAAAATGCAGCCATTCGTGCCATGAAGGCACCATTCAAAGTGTGCTTTCCGGAGCGAGAAGACTGGCTTAGGCCGCAGGGTCCGGTGCTGAAGAATGGGCTCATTCTTTTTACGGATGGGTCCAGGATCGGCCTGGGCTCAGGGGCGGGCGTTTACTGCCGAGGAAGAGGGATCAGTGAATTGGCATGGTCTTCCAAGCGGAGATAATGGCGATCTTGTGCTGTGCACAGGGGCTTCTCGCTAACAAAGAGAGGGACCAGCACATCAGCATCTGCTCGGACAGCCAGACGGCTCTGAGGGCCCTTGATTACTACCTAACCTAACCTAACCTAACCTAACCTAACCTAACCTAACCTAACCTGGATTAAATTAACCCCGATTACTACCTCCAACCTGGTCTGGGAATGCAGAGGCACCCTGGATGAACTTGCGAGGGACAACGAGATTGTTCTGATCTGGGTGCCTGGGCATCAAGGGCAATGACGCGGCCGACCAGCTTGCTAGAGCTGGCTTGGAGACCGTGTTGGTGGGACCGGAGCCGGCGGTCGGAATCCCCCACAGCCTAGGCAAGGGGGAGATTGGTCACTGGTTGCGGAATCAGCATTTGGCCTCCTGGAGGGGCGCGGCTGGATGCAGGCAGGCGATGGCTCTCTTTGGAGACTCTCTGAGAGAGGGCCTCGCCAGCGGCATCAAAAAGCTAAGTAGACAAGAGGCCGGGCTAGTGACTCGCATTCTCACGGGGTACGGCACTTTCAATTACCACCTGCAGAAATTGGGCATCAGCATGAGGCCCAACTACAAGAAATGTGACGCACCGGAGGAAACCAGCCTCCATGTGCTGTGTGACTGCCCGGCTTATGCCAGGGTCAGACTGAAACTGCTGGGCTCTGCTTTCCTGGAGCCCCAGCAGGTGGGTGATCTCCCAGGCAGGGCTCTCCTCCTTTTTTGGAGGAGATTGGGCCTGAATTGAGAGGTCGCTTATCGGAGAGGCACAATGGACTTTGTCTGCGTGCCGTAGGTGGAGCTTTGCTGAGAACCGCCCTCCGTTCTTAGTAGTATTAGTATTATATAATTTCTTATGATGGCAACAATAAATTTTCCAAATTTACCATAATATATATGTAACGACGTACCCCCATCGTTACCCGGCAGTTGACCAGTCGAAAGTTTGCCGCCAGGCGAACATCGGCCGGGCAGAGGCAGAGGCGTTTAGCGCCTCTTTTAATACTTCTAAACACCGAACACAATATTGGAGGTACCGTACAGCCGTTATATGGCTGCCGTTACGGCCCGAATTCCGAGAACCGCCGAGAGCCTCCGGAAAATACCGAGCGCTCAAACCGCTGAAACGCCGCGTCGTTTTCCCGCCGCGGGGTAGCGGCGCGTTACCCGCTGATTACCGAATCCGAAAACAACGCGTCGTTACCCCCACAAGAATAAGCGACGCGGTTACCGTTAAGTACTCGGTATAAAAAGGCCGCCGGAATCTATCTCGACCTGTGATGCCAGAACGAGGTCCCGGCTCACACGCACACAGTTAAAGTACCTCGTACATGTACTGCGCAGAGCGCTCTGCGCAGTACATGTACGGGATACTTTGACTCAGACTATTATGATAAAAAACTTCATTTAATGGAACGTGATATTATAGCAAAAGAACGAATTGCTGCAGCAATGGAAAATTTTTGTGCAATCATAAAATCCAAACAAGTTATTTAAATTATAGAAAAAAAATAATATAATACCAAAGTTATTATAATGCCAAAGTTTTGCTGAAAACAAATTTGTGATAATACAAATATGATAAAAAGTTATCTAGAAAAAGATTATAGTTTTAACAATTAGTTTTTATAGTTAATACAATTTATTTCATTTTTCGTATATTATTTTTAGCGCATTGTTTTTTGTTTATATGAAATAACTTATAAATTCTCAAAAAATATAAATTTTTCTGTTATAATTTATATAAGCAGTATTATATCAATATAAACAAGGTTTAATTTCTAAGTTATTCATAATATTCATAATCTTTAACGTTTTTTTTTGTATTTTGATAAACATATGTGTGTGTTCTAAATTATGTTATAATATTTGCAAATTATACATTAAGCTAAGAAATTATGTATATAAGTTTTATTTAAAAGTTATTCAACATAAATGATATCATTTTGGTTTATTTCATATAATTAATATTTTTATTAGACATGTAAGAAACATAAAAGATAAATAAAGTAAAATATTGTTAAATAAAAACTAAAATTTAAAAAAAATTTCTGATTATACGACGTTGCATTATTTTTGCTTTCATAAGGTCAGGATTTACACGTTCTACAGCAGCTTCAACAATTATTGGTCTCTCATTCAATATACCGAAATCCATATCTAGGTACTCATCATCTTCTTCAGGAAAAAGTACATTATTTTCTATACACATATTGTGTAAAACTGTACATGAATTTATAATCACCGAAATCGCATTTTTAATAGTCCGTTGCATCTTTCAATAATTGATCGTGTTCTTCTAATACCGGGATTACGATGAACTTGACGTAACGGGACGCGACGGGATGTGAAGTAACGTGACGCGACCTTAACGCTTGAGATACAACTGTCGAATTACGATCGGCGTAACGTGCCGTGAAGCACTGCGTGGTTTGACAGCTGTGGTGTAGAAGTTCGTTTTTGTTGTCATTCTCGAAATAAATTCTGCTGTGAGGCATTATCAATTTTTCAATTTAATTTTGGCCGAATATTAGTATCTTCAACTGCGGAAGAAGAAACGAGTACGAACCGTTGGTATGAGAGAGATTTTTCGGAGAAGAATCCAGTTTGGTGATGGATATAATTTATTAGAAGAACTCCGTTTCTGTGACCCACTCTTTTTTTTTATTTACACAAGGATGAATGTTGAAAGGTAAGATTTAATGATTGTCTGGCACAAAATATAATCATTTTTAAAGAAAGAATTAAAAGATTAATAATTTTCTGGCAGAAAGTTTATTTTTACAAATTATATGTTTGCTTTCCTAGATTCGAGTATCTCCTGAGCTTGGTTGGTCCACTGATAAAGAAGAGAGAAATATATACTGCTATTTTACCTACTCAAAGGCTTGCTATGACATTGAGGTAAGATCATTAATGTTTGCTTTATTTTAATTTATATCAATTTCTCAGAGTCGATTCAATTTGTAAATTTGCTTTGCAGATTCTTGGCAGCAGGAGACAGTCAGTATACTCTGAGCTTTTTGTATCGATGTGGCCAGAGCACTGTCTTTCAGATCTTGGCCGAAACCACTCGAGCATTTGTCAGTATGTTGAAGAGTGTGTTTGTAAAGCCTCCAGCAAATGAAGCGGAGTGGCGTGAGGTGACTGCTGGATTTTGGGAAGAGTGGCAGTTTCCCCATTGTGTGGGGGCCATTGATGGGAAGCACATTCAAATACAGGCTCCACAAACTTCCCAAAGTATTTACTTCAATTATAAGAAGACATTTATTTATGGTTCTATTGGCAGTTTGTGATGCACACTACAACTTCATCATGCTGGATGTAGGAGCAGAAGGCTCACAAAGTGATGGCGGAGTTTTTCAATCGTCTGAAATGGGTCGGCGATTGAATGATGGATCCCTCAACTTGCCAAATTCAAGTTGTCTACCAGGAACTGATATTGATATGCCCTACTTCCTTGTAGGAGATGCAGCTTTCCCTCTGAAGCCTTCCTTGATGAAATCCTATGGCAAGCGCAACATACCCCATGATCAATCTATATATAACTTTAGATTGAGCAGAGCAAGGAGGGTGATTGAAAATGCCTTTGGTATTTTAGCAGCTCGTTGGAGGATTTTTCGTCACCCTATTATTGCTACAGAAGACAATATGGAAAGCATCATTGAATGTGCTGTTTGCCTTCACAATTTCATCCGCAAGACAGGCGATAGAAAACTCAACCTGGAGTACTACCCCCCTTCCTTTATGGATCTTGAATTGCCAATTGGCGAACTGGTAGAAGAAGAATGGCATGATATTGTCGCTGGGGAGAATGGAGCCATCATTAATGGTCCACGGATGGGAGCAAGAAATGCTGTTCTTGGAGTTTTACAACAGAGAAATGCATTGAAGGAATTTGTGAATGGGCCTGGGGCTATGCGCCATCAAGATACCATTGTGAGGATCCGGCAAGGAATTATCCCTCCTCAGGATCTACGCTTACTGTAGTTTTGAAATGAAATAAATCAAAATACAAAACATAAATAAAATATTTTTATTTTCAAATAAAATTCATGGCAAATGAACTATAACTACAACAACATATAATTATAACTATAACAACATATCTGATAATACGTAATTAATCTGAAACTTTTAAACCTTCAGCCTCCTCCTCACAATCTTGAATGACAGATCTAAATTTCTTCCTGTACTTCAGCTCCAATGCCATATTTGTTATATTCTTGAGACAAGACCCAACATTTTTACCGATCAAGACATCTGGATTATTAATGTCAGTTGAATGTGGTGGTGGTGGCGGTGGTAGTGGTGAAGCACTGGATGCAGCCATGGATTTATTCAGAATGGCAAGAGTTTCTTTAAACATTTCAGCCGTATCGTCTACCTTTGGCTTCTTGCACCGACCTATAGGCCCTAAGTAGGGCATATTTGCAGCTGCTGACGATGAGCTGCATCCAGGTGAAGGTGACGAGAGGGGAGAGCTTAAATTACTTTAAATGGAGTACTAACTTCATCCACAGCCTTCTTGTCCAATATTGTTTCAATGCCTGGCGATTCCAATGAATCCCGCAGAAGCGACACCTCTTCATCTGTCGATAATGTTGATAAAGGTATGGATATGAACACCGACGCCTTTGGTGGAAAATTGTCCACAGATCTGCAACCGGAAATAATTAAAAGAATTACCGCAATCATCCGAAAATATGTAGAACAAACTGCCATATACTAAACTTACCTTCTTTTCCTAATTTGAGGTATCAGAAATGACATTATGCTGTATAGGGGCCATTCTGGACGGGTTGAGACCGCTGCTCCAGACCTCCCCTCCAATTCGAGAATACGTTTCTCCTTCGCGAATCTCTCGCGAAGAGTATGCCATCTGGCCATACAATCTGCCACTGATGCTGATAAATAATGATGATATAAATATATAATAATATAATAATAATATAATATATAATATATATATGTATATAATATTATTATATTATTATATATATATTAT